AAAAAAAAAAAAAAAAAAAATAGAGAGACTACAGTCTGGGCACAGTGGCTCATGCCTTTAATCCCAGCACTTTGGGAGGCCAAGGTGGGCAGATCACCTGATATCAGGAGTTCGAGACCAGCCTGGCAAACATGGCAAAACCCCGTCTCTACTAAAAATACAAAAATTATCTGGGTTTGGTGGTACACATCTGTAGTCCAGCTACTCAGAAGGCTGAGGTGGGAGAATTTCTTGAACCAAGGAGGTGGAGGTTGCAGTGAGCCAGTATCTTGCCACTGCACTCCAGCCTGGGCAACAAAGTGCAACTCCATCTTAAAGAAAAATAATAATTTTAAAAAGGCCAGGTACAGTGGCTCAAGCCTGTAATCTCAGCACTTTGAGAGGCTGAGGTGGGCGGATCACACTGTCAGGAGTTTGAGACCAGCCTGGCCAATGTGGTGAAATCCCGTCTTTACTGAGAAAAATACAAAAAAGCCAGGCATGGTGGTGTGCACCTGTAGTCCCAGCTACTCAGGAGGCTGAGGCAGGAGAATTTCTTGAACCTGGGAGGTGGAGATTGCAGTGAGCCAAGATTGTGTCACTGCACTCCAGCCTGGGCAACAGAGCAAGATTCCGTCTCAAAAGAAAAAAGAAGAGTTTACCTGGAAATTTTTATTTGCATAATATATAATGCATAAAACAACCTTTGTTCCCATACAACTCCACCTCTTACCTTATTATTATTTATTTATTTATTTTTTTTTTGAGATGGAGTTTTGTTCTTGTTGCCTAGGCTGTAATGCAATGGAGAGATCTTGGCTCACTGCAACTTCTACCTGCTGGGTTCAAGTGATTCTCCTGCATCAGCCTCCTGAGCATCTGGGACTACAGGCAGGTGCCACCACGCCTGGCTAATTTGTATTTTTAGTAGAGAAGGGGTTTCTCCATGTTGGTCAGGCTGATCTTGAACTCTCAACCTCAGGTGATCTGCCAACATTAGCCTTCCAAAGTGCTAGAATTACAGGTGCTAGCCACCATCTCGGCCATCTTACTTTCTTAAGTCTGCCTCCTACTTCCAAGGTCCATCTGGCCATTAATTCTTCCTAATGATTTACTGTCCTCAAAAGAAAACATCCTCCATCTCCTTTCTCCCCTATGAGAAAGGGTATATAAGCTTCTGTATCACACAGGGTTATTGGGTATTCACTCTGTGATTCCCCCCACCTCCGTGCATGTTAATAAATTGGTATGTCTTTTCTCTATTAATATGCCTTTTGTCAATTAATGTCATTGAGTCTTCAGACGGTGAAGGGGAAGTTTTCTCCTGGAACCTACAAAGGCACCTCCACCAGCTGGGGATGGTAGCACATGCCTGTAATCCCAGCACTTTGGGAGGCTGAGGTAGGTGGATCACTTGAGATCAGGAGTTGAGACCAGCCTGGCCAGCATGGTGAAACCCCATCTCTACTAAAAATACAAAAAAAAGTCGGGCACAGTGGCTCATACCTGTAATCTCAGCACTTTGGGAGGCTGAGGTGGACAGATCACGAGGTCAGGAGTTCAAGACCAGCCTTACCAACATGGTAAACCCCGTCTCTACCAAAAATACAAAAATTAGCTGGGCATGGTGGTACACACCTGTACTCCCAGCTACTCATGAGGCTGAGGCAGGAGAATTTCTTAAACCTGATAGGCAGAGGTTGCAGTGAGCCGAGATTGTGCCACTGCATTCCAGCCTGGGCAACAGAGCGAGACTTCGTCTCAAAACAAGCAAACAAACAACAACAAAAAATTAGCCAGGTGTGGTAGCACACACCTGTAATCCTGGCTACTCAGAAGGCTGAGGTGGAAGGATCACTCGAGCCTGGGAGATGTAGGTTGCAATGAGCTGAGATCGCTCCACTGCACTCCAGCCTGAATGACAGAGCAAGACTCTATCTAAAAAACAAAAAAACAAAACAAAACAAAAAAAACCCAAATACATCTCCACCCAAACTCAGTGACCCAGCCCCCTTGACCACAGAGAGGTTCAAGGGCACGTTATGGAGGCCGTGACAAGGAATCCATTGAGAACTTGGCAGTAAGGAAATAGATCACTTTGACCGACTGCAAAGTCTAGATCCAAGTGGATATGACTAATTTCCTTAAAGCAGTGGTTCTCAAAGAGTGATCTTTCCACCAGCATCACATGGAAAGATGGTAGAAATGCAATTTTAGGGGCCTCTGACCAGACTTACTGAATCAGAAATTCTAGGAGTAGGGCCAAGAATAGCTTTTAAAAAGTGCCTCAGATGCTTCTGATACACACTCATGTTTGATAGGCACTGCCCTAAAGAAATAGTGGCTCCCAATCCTGCAAGGCTTGCAGTGCCTTGGCTAAAGATAATAACATAGTTTTAAAATAGGTCAGTGGCTGGGCGAGGTGGCTCATGCCTGTAATCCCAGCACTTTGGGAGGCCGAGGCAGGTGGATCCCCTGAGGTCAGGAGTTAGAGATCAGTCTGACCAACATGGTGAAACTCCTCTCTACGAAAAATACAAAAATTAGCTGGGCATAGTGGTAGGTACCTGTAATCCCAGCTACTCGGGAGGCTAAGGCAGAAGAATCACTTGAACTGAGAAGGCAGAGTTTACAGTGGGCCGAGATGGAACTGTTGTACTCCAGCCTGGGAGACACAGCGAGACTCTGTCTCAAAAAAAAAAAAAAAAAATAGGTCCGTGGATGGTTCACACCTGTTGTAATCCCAGCACTTTGGGAGGCCAAGGTGGATGGATTACCTGAGGTTAGGAGTTCCAGACCAGCCTGGCCAACATGGTGAAACTCTTTCTCTACTAAAAATACAAAAATTAGCTGGGTGTGGTGCCTTATGCCTATAATCCCAGCTACTCGGAAGGCTGAGGTGGGAGAATTGCTTGAACCCAGGCGGTGGAGGTTGCAGTGATACTAGATTGCTCCATTTTACTCCAGCCTGGGCGACCGAGCAAGACGCCATCTGAAAAAAAAAAAAAAAAAAGAATAGTTCAGTGGACTGCTAGATTGATCAGCCTTGGAGTCAGGGAAAGGGGAGTGAGTCACTGAAGCCAAGATTGTTAGTATCCAGCCAAATGATCAGGAAAAGAATACCGAGCTGGCTCAATAAATGAACCTGTTTGAACCCCATGAGCTTAGACCCCCTTATGGAATGGCACAGGTGGCTAAGGGTCCTTGTTATGATTCCATGCTGTCCAGGAGAATTGCTGATGAGAATTGGGCCCCATAGAATGTGCCTACAGGAAGAGAATGCACTGGCCAGGAAGCTTATGTGCCTGTGTGTGGGTGTGCATGCGCCCACGTGTCCTGAATGTTTTCTGTTTGCCACCCACTCCCCCAACATTGTTTCTCACCCACTCAGGTCTTTGCCCAAGGAGACTAACCTATACAGACCACATCAAAGGGTGCGTCTGGCTTCCAGCTGATTTTGGCTGATGGAGCACCCTGGCAGGAAAACAGCTGGAGGAAGACACTGACTTGGGGGTATTTACTCCACTGAGTCCTTTCCCAGGTCACCTTGGACTGGCCAAAACCTCCATTTGGCTGGGCACGGTGGCTCACGCCTATTATCCCAGCACTTTGGGAGGCCAAGGCAGGTGGATCACCTGATGTCGGGAGTTTGAGACTAGCCTAACCAACATGGAGAAACCCTGTCTCTACTAAAAACACAAGATTAGCCGGGCATGGTGGCGCATGCCTGTAATCCCAGCTATTCAGAAGGCTGAGGCAGGAGAATCGCTTGAACCTGGGAAGTGGAGGTTGCAGTGAGCCAAGGCTGCGCTCCAGCCTGGGCAACAAGAGCGAAATTCTATCTCAAAAAAAAAAGAAAAAATGGTGAAGCTTTGCGCAGTGGCAGTATCGTAGCCAATGAGGTTTATCTGAGGCGTGATTATTGCTAATTGAAAACTTCCCAATACCCCGCTGTGACGACTTGCAATACAGTCACTGGCAATTTTTGACAGTCTCTATGGAGACTGATTAAAAAAAAAAAAAGAAAATTATCCTTCCAGGTTTCAGTAGTCCAGGGGATAGATTTCAGGTGATCAGGTGATCTGTGGCCTTGGGAAAAAATGTATCTTTTTTTTGTTTTGAGATGGAGTCTCGCACTGTTGCCTAGGCTGGAGTGCAGTGGTTTGATCTTTGCTCACTGCAACTTCCACCTCCTAGGCTCAAGCAATTCTCCTGCCTTAGCCTCCCAAGTAGCTAAGATTACAAGTGTACACTACCATGTCTGGCTAATTTTTGTATTTTTAGTAGAGATGGGTTTTCACCATATTGGCCAGGCTGGTCTCGAACTCCTGTCTCAAGTGATCTACCCGCCTTGGCCTCCCAAAGTGCTGGGATAACAGGCGTGAGCCACCGTGCCCAGCCATATCTTTTGCTTAAGTCCAGTGTCACATATGTTGTCTTGACTGACTATAAAGTTTGAAGTTCTCATTGAAGCCAAGCAACAACATCCTTTGTACTAATGTCCTTATTTATTAAAATTGAACTTCAGCTTAACCTGTATTTCAGTGTGTTGTCTTGGGCCTGGTGTGGTGTTGGTTCACTCCTATAATCCCAGCACTTTGAGAGGTGGGGGTGGGAGGATTGCTGGAGCCCAGCAATTCAAGACCAGCCTGGGCAACAAAGTGAGACTCCATCTCTTATAGGAAAAAAAAATTAATTGTAAAAAAAGTGCTGTCTTTTATTTAATATGGTAATAAAGAAGTACATGGGCAGGGCACACATGGCTCACACCTGTAATCCCAGCATTTTGGGAGGCTGCAGCAGGTGGATTGCTTGAGTTCAGGAGTTTGAGACCAGCTTGAGAAACACGGCGAAATCCTCTCTCTACCAAAAGTACACAAAAAATTAGCCAGGAGTAGTGGTGCATGCCTGTGGTGTCCCAGTTGCTTGAAAGGCTGAGGTGGGAGGATTGTTGGAGCTGGGGAAGTTGAGGCTGTAATGAGCCATTATTGTGTCACTGCACTTCAGCCTGGGTAACAGAGCAAGACCCTGTCTCAAAGTTAAAAAAATAAATAAAAAAATAAATAATAATAGGCCGGGCGCGGTGGCTCAAGCCTGTAATCCCAGCACTTTGGGAGGCCGAGGCGGGTGGATCACGAGGTCAAGAGATCGAGACCATCCTGGTCAACATGGTGAAACCCCGTC